TCGGCGGCTGTCGGATTGGCAGTGAACTGCCCCTCCAAGTGGCTGGCCAGGATTTCTGCCCGGTCAATAGCTGCGTAACAACGCCTGCCCGTTTCATCGAATAACGGGCAGACGGGGGGTCGTGCCTTAGTGAGCTGTCGGTTTAGGGCGTACAGAGAGTCGTCGTGTTCGCCCGCGCGGGAGATTACACCCTCCCACGAGGAGCCACGCCAGTCGCGGACTCCCTCCGACAGCTCCGCAGCGAGACAGTTAAGCTCACGCTTGACCCGTGGACAACGGGTGCGGGCCCATAGGCGGCGGAGTTTGCGTTTGCGCGACAACTTATCGCTCAAATGTGCCGGCAATTCGACTCGACGACGAGCCGCCGAGTGAACGGTGGTGGTGGCCGCCTCTAGGGCGCTTTGGATGCGCTCTTGTATAGCGATAGAGGCGGCCTCTATGCCCTCGGGCGTGGTAAAGTCGCCGACGAGGGGTATGTGCTGGAGGCTTGAACGATAAGCCGTCCAGTTTGTACTCCGCCGCTCCGACTTGTGCGATGTGGTGACCGCACCTAGGTCGAGCGTGGCTAGAACTGGGAGGTGTTGTGTGTCCATGTCATACAACACCTCCATATTGACCGGGCAGGGCACTCGCTGCACGAGTGCTATGTCCAGAACGTCTGGATATTGTCGACGGTTGGTAGGAATGTGTGTTGGGTGTAAAGGGCCCAACACGTCGTAACCGTGACTGTCGGCGTCACGGAGGAGTCTGGTACCCATAGGCGATATCACCCGGCTACCCCAAGTCGGGTGTTTTGCATTAAGATCGCCCATGAGTAAAGTGGGACTCCTCCCGTCCAGGACGTTCCGGACATCGGAGGGGCAGAATTCGTTAACCGGGGGGCGGTAGGCGGCGTATACTCTCAGCTCCGCGCCGTCGATGTTTATGCTAACTCCTATGGAGCGCATGACGCGGAACTCGGGGAGCGCCAACTCACCGTGCACAATGTCGCGGCGGACCAGTATAGCGGTGCCGCGGTAAGCTACACCTGCGGGGGACCGCTCGTCCCGCCTGTACACGAAGTAGTTGGGCACCCTCAACGTCTCCCTGGGAGCCAACTTGGTCTCCCCCAGGAGTATTAAATGGATATCCTGGGATTGAGCAAGGAGACGGAGACCGTCCACCTTGTCCTTTATCCCCCCGGGGTTCCAGTACAGGACGCGGAGCGAGTTACTCCGCGCCTCTGTACTGGCTTATTGTGGCCAATCCGGACAATGCCGCCGACTTAACGTCTTCTCCAGCCGCTAAGGCCGAAAGGAGGTCGACCAGGAGGCCCAGTATTAAATTTAGGGCTCCGTTGTCCGCTGTAACAGTGGGGAAATCGCGCGTCTGAGTCGGCTGTGGTGCCGTGTGAATCGGCCGCCGAGGTACGTTACTAGGTGTAACAGGTGCGTCGGCCAATAGCGGCCGGGCACGCACCTGTTGCACTCTCGAGTTTAATGACGCCGTCTGGCGGCGATCGAACGAGACAGCATTAGTTTGTTGTTGTGGCTGTCTCGTTCTATTGATTGCCCCGTGCAAAGTAGACGATATCGGGGGCTGGCGTTGGGGGGGGGCGAATGCCCCGTGGGACGGTTGCGCTTGAAAGCGCGTTGTCGCCGTCTCGACCTCCTCTAACGGTGTGGACGCCGCCGCCATACGGTTGCGGCGTTTACGACCGGCGCGGTTGCGCTTTCGACGCTTGGGCGCCTCGCCTCTCGCTATGGGCGGATTTGCCGGGGCCATAAGTGTGCCCCGCTTGAAAGTAGGTACCGTTGACACCGGCACCGGTGCCAGCGGTAGGAATGAACGTTGAGGCGCTGTGGCGCGCGCGGAGCGTTGCGCGCGCGTCGGGGCCGTTTGAAGCGGCGCCGGGCCGCGACGATTGGGCCCGGGTGTGTCCGCAGGCAATGGGGGTGCGGCAGGGCGGGTTGGATACCCCTGCGGCGGGCTTCTCTTTTGTACACGGCACACCGCCTATCGTTGGCGGTGTGCGGTTTGGCGCAGTTGGCGCATGTGGGCTTCTGGTCGCGCGGTCGTGTGCAGTCGACGGCCGCGTGTTCGCCGGCACAGCGGACACATTTGATCGGCCGGTGGCAATTGGCCGATGAGTGTCCATGCTGCTGCGTTTCAGTACATGGCGACCGATGAAACCTTCGGCAATACCGTATCGAGAACCCGTGTGCCGCTAGACGTTTTCTCGTATGAACACTTCCAAGTTTTCACTAGCCCGCGTCCGATTAATTGCGTCTAAAACGTCATATTCACAATATTCAGGTCTGGACGACCCGCCGGAGTGACCTGTCCGAGTTGATCTCCGCATCCGACGCACCGCCGAGGCGGTGAGGTTCGCGTGCGTCGCGCGAGAGCGGTATATTTTTGTCGTTGTGTATCGCGAGTACCTCGGGTCCACTTTAAAAGTTATTTTTCTTAATTGTACACGAGTTTTTGGCGTGTACGAGTCGACGTTACAAGTGTGAAGATACCGTTCTTCGAATCTGTAGCAATTATTCAAACGTCGCATCGCTAACGCGTCTATTTTGACCGTCTCAAGTGGAGGGTCGTAAAACTCGCGCGGTCGGCGGCAGACGTACGGTCGATCGTCCAACCGCACGCTTAAGAACATACATACGGCGTCTGTCCATTTGTTAGAATGCAACCTGCATTTGTGGTGGTTATAAATAATCTTTTTTATTTTTTATTTATTTATTTATTTTTTTTTTTTTAAAGTATACGATTGTCCAGTAATTAATTAATTTATATATATTGCACGAGCGAACGAGTAAGCAAGCAAGCAAGCAAGCAAGCAAGCAAACAAACAAACAAACAAACAAACAAGATAGCTAGCAAGCCAACCAACTAGCGAACAAGCAAGAAAGAAACAAAAAAAAAAAAATAAATATTAAAGCAAAACGAGTAGGGGAGGGGGAGGGAGCGGTCTTCGGTTCAAAGTTCGCACGCCGATCGTCAATAATAATTGTCTCGATCAACATCACAACAAAACAATAACAACACAATTCTTAGTTAAATTATATCTCAAGTATTATATAATATAATAATAACAATAATCTTTAGCTACGTCGCTATATGATCGGCGTCGGCGTCTCTCTCACTTAAGTGTCTACGGGAACTAACTCTCACTACTTGTGAATAAATACGCGTCACCAATAACGTGCGTTTATATATTTATTAATAATTAATTATTTATTTATATATTTATTTATTTAAAAGAAAAAAAAACAGGCCTGTTAGCCCGCCTATCGAGTACGAGTAGTCTACCTGTCTGTGGGTACATTGCTAGCAATGACTAATGCGGAGTACGGTATACAACAACAACAACAATACCCTTCTCCAAATAAATAAATTAACAAACAAACACCCGAATAATTAAAAAAAAAAAAAAAAAAAAAAAAAAGAAAGGAGAAAATTATATTAAAATATATATTATATATATATATATATATATATATATATATATATATATATATATTTTTTTTTTTTTTTTTTTTTTTTCATTCATTCATCCATTAATTCGTTCGAACCCTCAGTTAGCTAGCCAAGCATGGTTAAGCAGAGTGTAAGTATGTATGTAAGTAAAGTATTCACCGTAAGAGCAAAGCAAAGCTTACTTAGGTGGTAGTGGTGGGTGTAGCTAGTTTAGTAAAACGTGCAAAACGATAATATCACGGTAGGGGTGAGCGAGTATTATACGCGCGTATAGTATATATTATTATGATTGTGATATTTTTTTTTTTTTTTTTTTTTTTTATTTTATTAACCTATGGTCGTAAAAAAAAACTTATATCCATTCCACCGGAAACTAATCGGTAATTTAGACAATTTTGCGGCCCTAAAAAGGGCCTTTTATTATTATAAATGATGACGACGGACGGTGATGATGATGATGATCAATAACGTCAACCACCTCCATCATCATCATCATTTAACCGCCGAAACCGTACAGAGTGCGGCCCTGGCGTTTCAGAGCGTAGACGACATCCATGGCGGTGACCGTCTTTCTCTTGGCGTGTTCTGTGTAGGTGACGGCATCACGGATGACGTTCTCAAGGAACACCTTCAGAACACCACGAGTTTCCTCGTAGATCAAACCAGAGATACGCTTAACGCCACCACGGCGAGCAAGACGACGGATGGCGGGCTTCGTGATGCCCTGGATGTTGTCACGCAGCACCTTCCTGTGTCGCTTGGCGCCACCTTTTCCAAGACCTTTGCCTCCCTTGCCGCGACCGGTCATGTTCGCTATATATTATTATAGGATACACGATACGATACGAAACTGTACTAAAATGAACAGCGAACGCGTACAACGTCCGAAGCGAGCGAAACGGCAAAACTAACTACTTTGACAGAATGTAATCACGTTATATTTATACCCACGCCGCACGCCGGCGCGCGGCGTCCCCCCCCCACCCGCGCGGCGATATTTTGACCCCCCCCCCCCCCCCCCGCCCCCTCCAACCACCCCCGCCCTCCGGCGCACACCCAGTGTTAAAACAAATAATCAAATAATAAAATAAAATAAAAAAAATAATAATAATAATAATAATAAATAAATAAATAAATAAATAAAAATATAATAAAATAAATAAAACTCAATATTGTCAACTGTGAAACGGGACTACCTTCTAACATACAGGACAGCCCCTCCATTATTTCCTCTATGATAAGATTGAAATACCAGACTTTTTTTTTTATAAATCTAAAAAATATAATATATATCCCTATATAAGTGTCCCTGTATGACGGATTCTAATATACTATATATTGTTATTATATTATGTTATTGTTACTATATATATATATATATATTAGTTTGTAATGTTTTACATGTTTTTTCATACATACATACATACATACATACATACATACATACACCCCACCGTTAGAAACATTCATATAGTAGAATCAAATTGCGGCCCTGAAAAGGGCCTTTTCATTATTATTATTAATTTGAAGAAAACTTAAGCGCGTTCACCACGGATACGACGGGCAAGTTGGATGTCCTTGGGCATGATGGTAACTCGCTTAGCGTGGATGGCGCACAAGTTGGTGTCTTCGAAAAGACCCACCAAGTAAGCCTCGCTGGCCTCCTGAAGGGCCATCACGGCGGAACTCTGGAAACGCAAGTCGGTCTTGAAGTCCTGGGCGATTTCTCTGACCAGCCGCTGGAACGGCAACTTGCGGATCAGAAGCTCGGTGCTCTTCTGGTAGCGGCGGATCTCACGGAGGGCGACGGTGCCGGGCCTGTAACGATGCGGCTTCTTGACACCGCCGGTAGCCGGCGCGCTCTTGCGGGCAGCTTTCGTCGCCAACTGTTTCCTGGGCGCCTTGCCACCGGTCGATTTACGGGCGGTCTGCTTCGTACGTGCCATGATCGTCTCTACAAACCACAAACACAAACAAACAAACAAACAAAGGCAAATACACTACCGATCACGACGCGAGCGACGATGGCAGCGAGAATGGCAGAATGAATAAAAATTCTGCAGTCCGACTCCAGTCTTTATATATATATACGTGTAGAGAGACTGACGTTACGCGATTAGGGTGGGGGGAAGTGAGAGTGAGATAGCGAGCGCGCGACCGCAAGCGAGAGCTAGCGAGCGAGGGCAGAAGTGTGTGCAAATGGGAGAGCAAGTGAGTGATGATTATTGTGCTACAAAAGAAGACTACTACTAACTACTACTACAACTATTACTTACCTAATTGTTAATCTATAATAATATTATTTTACTGAAGGAAAAGGACGACGAAAAAAAAAAAAAAAAAAAAAAAAAAACGTTGCCACCATCTGCCAACGTACAGAACATTATCTCCATTTTTTCTTAAAGAAAAATGATTGAAATCCCACTTTTTTGTTTTTTTAAACTAATAATACTACTACTATACGTGTACGTGTATGTTTATTCTATTTGCCTTGTATACCTTTTTGCCTGTACCTTTCCTGCACTCGATTAACCGCTAATTATTTTCTCTTTCAACACATCAAACTAATCGGTATATCTTTTGTTCAAGTGAAAATAAAGAATATATATTATATTATTATTTTCTCTTCAGTCGGACATATAGGTACATAATAATCGTGGATGTTTTAGCCTGTGACGTGATTATATATAATAAATATCACACACAGGTGTTTTCTATATATATATATATATATATATATATATATATATATATATATATATATATATATATATATATATATATTGTGATATTCTTACCGGTATATTGGCTTATTAAATGTGTGTTGTTAGATAATATTCAAACAAATACATAGGGATAGACAGACCGTCCTAACTTGCGAGAGACTACAATAACACTGAACAACTCTGTGGCCCTGAAAAGGGCCTTTGTTTTGTTATTATTATATTTTGATAGAGAAAGAGAGCGATCGTTGCACGACGACTATAAACGAGACGAGGAGGCGGCGGTGGTGGCACTGGAGAAAGTGATGGTGATGGTGATGCTGATGGAGGTCGTCCTCGTCCACGTGCTCGTGCTCGTCGTCGCCGTCGGGGAGTAGAATCACCGCGGCGATCACCTCCTCACTTGGAGCTGGTGTACTTGGTGACCGCCTTGGTGCCTTCGCTCACTGCGTGCTTGGCGAGCTCACCGGGCAGCAGCAGTCTCACGGATGTCTGCACCTCCCTCGAGGTGATCGTGGACCTCTTGTTGTAATGGGCGAGACGGCTAGCCTCGGCCGCGATGCGCTCAAATATATCGTTCACGAAGGTGTTCATGATCGTCATGGCTTTGGAGGAGATGCCGGTGTCGGGGTGGACCTGCTTCAACACTTTGTAGATGTAAATGGCGTAGCTCTCCTTCCTCTTGCGCTTCTTCTTCTTGTCTCCCTTGGCGATGTTCTTCTGGGCCTTACCGGCCTTCTTCGCTGCCTTTCCGCTAATCTTGGGCGGCATTATTATTTATATATTTAAAAAAACGGAAGAAGAAAAAAAAAAAAAATAAACAAATAACCGCAAAAGATATAAAAAATGCGCAAATAAACAAAACGAGAATCGAAAGTGACGCGTACCGTGCCGTACAGTAGAATCGACCGACGGACGAGTGGATACAAACACCAATGAACGATAATCCGAACACACTTACTTGATATATATAGACCGTGGTCGGCTCGAGGGCGCACCGGGTGTAACGCGCGCTACGACCAATAGCGGACCGTGCGCATCGCGCCGCCGCAATAGACTGCAAAACCTCCCCCCCCCCCCGCCTATTTAAAGAATAATAATAACAACAATAATAATAAATAAAAAAAAAAAAAAAAAAAGTCAATATAGGTGATTCGTTGTGAAGGTAAATCATCATTGTGTGAAAAAAAAAAAAAAAAAAAAAAAAAAAAAAAATTATAATAATAATAATATCCACAAATTGTTATAATTAATAAGAAAAGATACGGTTCTAAGTATTAATATAATTGTATGTTTGTTTACCTGATATTGGCGTGTACCAGGACAAGTGTTAATTGATATCATATGAGCTATACAATCAATTAATTAATATAAATCACACTTTTTAAATAAATAATTTTATTATTATTATTATTATTATTATTATTTTTTTTTTTTTTTTTTTTTTTTTTTTTTTTTAATAATATTCAAAATTCAAAATTCAAAAATCATTTATTCATGTAGGACATTTTAGCCGCTTATGAACGTAAAATTTTTACATTATAATTTTATATTTACCCTACCGTCCAGTTCGGTATATAGATCCAATTGAGAAGAACTGGCAAGAAACTCAATTGAATTACTTTTTTTTTTTTTTTTTTTTTTTTAAGCCAGTTTATTTACAATAGTTAATGAATTTACAAAATAAGTATTACAAATTAATATATCACTATGTCTGTTCTCGATCTCTGTGTGTACATAAAAACTATTATGTTTATTTATTTATTATTTTTCTTCGTTACATATATACACGCGGATTAATTGTACCGCGGAATCGACCTTCTTCTCCTCAAGAGACGCGCACTGCGTATTTCAGATCAGTATTGCGGCCCTAAAAAGGGCCTTTTTATTATTATTATTATTTTTTTTTTTCTCATTCACGTCACATCACATCACACCACACCACACCACACACATAAGACACACCGCGACGACGACGTAAGGACTCGACCGGCGAGCGCGCGCCGCGCAGGTGTGCTAGTCGGAGTGCGAGTGTGAATGTGAATGTGAATGTGAATGAATGCGAGCGCAAACGAGAAGCGAGACCTCTTAAGCTTTCTTCTCGGTCTTCTTGGGCAAGAGCACCGCCTGTATGTTAGGGAGGACGCCACCCTGAGCGATGGTGACACCGGAGAGCAGCTTGTTCAACTCCTCGTCGTTCCTTATGGCGAGCTGCAGGTGTCTCGGTATGATCCTGGTCTTCTTGTTGTCCCTAGCGGCGTTGCCGGCCAACTCTAGCACCTCGGCGGCGAGGTACTCCATGACGGCCGCCAGGTAGACCGGAGCGCCGGCACCGACGCGCTCCGCGTAGTTGCCCTTGCGCAGCAGCCTATGGATACGGCCCACCGGGAACTGAAGACCGGCGCGATTGGATCGCGACTTCGCCTTCCCCTTGACTTTGCCGCCTTTGCCGCGTCCGGACATATTGTGTGTCGTGTGTCTTGTAAATAAATATATAACACAGAGGAATAGGACAAACGTTTCGCGACCAGCGGGAAACGTTCGAGCGATACGACAAAATGTAAGTAATGAACGAATCCAATATTCGTAATATATATATACGTGTCGACGGGGGCCGCAGCGAGCTACGTGAGCACATCGGGGGGGGTTACGGAGAGAGAGAGAGAGCGAAACGTAGAGCGAGCGAGCGAGACAGACAGACAGTGTACTACTTGCTTGCTCGGTTACATTTTACGGATTATGTTGTCGTTGTTGTTGTGTGTTATACTACTTTGTACTTGTACAATGTTGTATGTATATATATATTTATTTATTTATCGGGGGAGTCGGGAGTCGGGCAGTCGGGCAGTCGGGCGTTCAGCAGAGACGGTGCTCGGTGATAATGATGGCGATGGCGATGGCGGGGTGACGGTGACGACTGTTGCTTGCTTTTGGATGGAGAAACGCATATATGGACAATAGAATGCATGCATGCATGCTCGCACGCGCATATATTTAAGAATATAGTTTTAAATTAAGATTTTATTGGAAGATTGTGTATGTACCTTGTGCCTACTACTTGTATATTATTATATATAATATATAATCGTCGTCGTCGTCGTCGTCGTCGTCGTGTTCGACGGTCGGTTGCCGTCTGTTCACCTGCTGTTTGATGAAGAAGATGAATCTACTACGACGTCGTGTCTCACTCGTGTCCCGCCTGCCAAGAAACCGTTTCGAATTCAGAAAAATATTGTTAGCCCTGAAAAGGGCTTTTTGTTTTGTTGTTTTTGTTTGCAGATACCACTACGACACACGCGCACGATCGGGGGCCGTAGTCAGCGTCGCCGTCGCCGTCGTCGTCGTCGTCGTCGTCGTCCATGGACGCAGAGCGGCGGGACGCGGCGGGGCGGCGGGGAGGCGCATCGCATCACACGCACCCGGGCGGCGACTGCGGCTGCTGCACCACCACACACTTTATCACACACCAAATGCGAACCTAATCCGTTCTCTATCGACAGCGACGACGGCGGGGTCGACGTCGTTGTGTCGTGGTGGTGTGGATGGAGGTGACAGCAGCTCTCAGCGTGGCCGACTCCGTCCGTCCGTCCGTCCGTCCGTCGGTCGACGTCTACTTCGCGACGAGAGAGACCGCACCGCCGAATTATTACTTCTTGGCTGATGCGGTCTTCTTAGCGGAGGTCTTCGATTTGGAAGCGGCGGCGGCGGTCTTCTTCGGTTTGGGCGCCTTCGGTTTCTTGGTCGGCGGCTTGGCGGTCTTCTTGGCCTTCGGTGCGGCGGCTGCGGCGGCGCCGCCTTTCGCCTTGGCCGGCGTGGAGGCCTTTCTCGCGGCGGCAGCGGCGGCGGCGGCGGCGGGTTTCCTTTTGGCGGCGGCCGCCTTCTTGTCTTTGGTGGCCGCCTTCGACTTGGACGGCGATGCGGCGGACGAGGCGGCCTTCTTCGCCTTACCGGCGCCGGCCGTCTCCTTCTTTCTGGACTTGGCGGTCGCCGAAGCGGCGGCGGAGGAGGCCGAAGAGGATCCCTTACCGCCGCCCGAGGCGGAGGCACCCGCGGAGCCGGTCCTGCTCGACGCCGTCGACCTCTTCTTCTTGCCCCCGGCGGAGGATTTCGACTTGTCGAGCTTGAAGGAACCGGACGCGCCCTGACCCTTGGTCTGAATCAGAGCTCCCGATTCGACGGCGCTCTTGAGATACTTTCTGATGAACGGTGCCAATTTTTCAGCGTCAACCTTGTACTGCGCGGCTATATATTTCTTGATCGCCTGCAGGGAGGATCCGCTGCGCTCCTTCAGCTCCTTAATGGCGTTGTTCACCATCTCGGAGGTCTTCGGGTGCGTCGGTTTGGCTTTCGCCTTCTTGACGCCGCCGGCCGCTGAAGCGGACGCCTTCGGTT